CCTCCAGTAAAGCACATTCACATGAAAATTACTCTGAATTAAAAACACTGATCATTTATTGAACAGGATGGAATCATTTCATATTTAAAGTACTTTCCTTTAAAGATGATTAAATTGTCTGAGATGCGTCCGTGAAGAATTTATTTTTCCCCTACAGCGCACTGCATTAGTAAATACACCAACAGGGAAGAGGGAGGGAAAAAAAACACATAATTGATGCACATTTTGACTTTAAACATTTGGAAAGGTTAAAGGAAATAAATTGAAGTTTTGACTCGTTTCAAGCAATCTTTGCCATTTTCAAAAAAAAAAAAAAAAAAAAAAAGTGTGAGTCAGCAATCTGATGCTGATATGATCGTTTTAGGAGAGGCCAGACATCATCTGTCCACATCATGGAGGGTAAAGCTAAACCACGGTCTTTAGTTTGTAACTTCATCCATTGCAAACCAGCTCAGAAACAGATTGTTTGTATTGACTAATGCTACGTTCAGACCGCAAGCAGCAGGAGCAGCAAAAACGTGCGTGCTGCTTCATTTTTGCTGCTTGTACCAGTTTAGTTCTGATGCACGGCTGAAGCATCTTTGCTGCTTTAGCTGCGCGGTAGAAAAGTGGGTCTGATGCGCGTTGGGCGGAGCTACCCTATCCTTTCTTTGCCTGGAACAATGGCAGCTATATTTGCTGTGATCAGTGGGTTAAAAGTAGTTTTAATATATTTTTAAGTGAGAAAATCCACCTGAAAACTTAATCAGTGCAGTCAGTTCATCCAGATTAACATCCTAACTTCAAATATTATTTCTCTGTGGGATCCGCTCAGACCCCCGTACACTGGCGGTGCGCTGTCACTGGGAATCCCCGTAATCCAGACATCAGGGACAAGAACAATAAAAGGGAAACATATTTTACCTGCAGGTTTGTACATTTGAAGTTAATTTATGCGTTAATAAACTGTTTCAGAGGAGTGATCATAGCGCTCTGCATCAGCAGTGCTGCGTCTGACTCCCTGCCAGCTCCCACATCAGCTTCTCTCATTGGTTGACGCGGCGCGTCCAGCAGCTGAAGTTGAATTTTTCCAACTCCAGCAGCTGCTGCTTGTGAAGCACGGCGTGCGCATCAAATGCTCAGAAGCTCATGACGCGCTGCAGGAGCTTTTGCTGCACCTTTATGCGCATCAACCATCAACTTTACATGTAAACTAGCTTCTTCTGTCGCCTGTGGGTCTGAACGCAGCATTAGACGTCTAAAACTCCCACCAGGATATCATACTTTTAAGGCCAATATCACGTTCCCGCCTCTTTTGTCCAGAAATGGAAAAGCAGCTATTGGTTGTGTGATTTGACATGGATTTTATACGTAGCACTCTCTTATTGCAGTAGCGTTGACATTAAAATAGTCCCACCTTCTGTACAATGAAGGCAAGAACATAATGGAGTGGACATTTTCAGAGCAGCCTGAACCTCCTTCCTGTTTACATTCAGGGACCACACTGTATTATTATTATTATTATTATTAAGGTGCAAATTGCTACAAGTAACCTCATTATACAGGCCAGGTTCCAAAGGTAACCTCCCAGGGACGAACCTGTGAGTTCAACATAAAGCTCTGAGTAACTCATCAAATGATTCAAAAAATTTAACCTAAAAGAAAAGAATCAGGTGTTTGAAACTAAACGAAACTTTCTATATTGCTAAATGAAACAGACACACTAGGGCCCTCTGGTCAAGGCTGGATTTTGGCACCATTTCTGGTTATTTACCGTTTCTGTCGTTACAAATTGATAAGATGAATCTATGGGGTTGAAAATTAAAAAGATCTAAAAATAAAATGAATGTTATTTCTCAAACGATTGAAGTAAAGTAATACTGCTGACAGTTTGACGTTTTTTTTGCAAGATTCGCGTGGAAAATGGTCAACATTCTTCAAGCATGATCAGTTACAAGTCAAGTTAAGTTAAAAATGATCCCGGAGTGTCATTTATGTTCTGAGGCCTGTTTCACAAAGCAGGTTTAACAAAGTCGGACTCAAACCCTCAACTCTGAATTGATCCAGCCTAAGGTTTGAAACTGAGTTTTCTGTTTCATAAAAGCTAATGTGATTTAGTTAAATCAACTGAGTAGGTCCACTCAGACGTGAGCACGTACGTAACATGTCACCATGACAACAGGAAGTACCTATTTTACGCCACTGGAACTCGGGATCTTAATTCAGAAGTGAAAAAAATTGAGAATGTGTTTAAAAGACCGAGATACAGCGCTAGCATGAAGTGCATATGGCAGGCCATTTTAACATTTATTTAGAGCATTCTCTGAGTTGTTCCGTTTGTAGATCACTAAAATAGGATGCTTCCTGATCAGAATCACTCCAAGACTGAACTGTATTAACAGATTTCTAAATAAAAGTTTTGCAATAGAAACAATTTCAGAAAATAAAAAACAAAATTGAACTGGTAAGAATTTAGTTTTATATATCTAGTGGCCGTTCTGACATTCATCAGCTTGAATGAATATTTGTTTATATCTGAAATATATTTATTCATAGTTAAAAATAATGCAAATCCTGACCAGTAACAATAGAAATATGGAGATCTGAAATATATTTCTAGACATCCAGAATGTTTATTCTAGATGTGAAGAGTGTCATTTTGAAAAGGAAAAAAAACATGTTTATAAATACATATTCAGTCAAACATATCGAAATGTCTTTCCTTAGCCTGTTATCATGATAACATTGCAGGGAAAACTAGTTTATTTCTTGAATGGTTGTAGATCAATGCATCCAATGAGGTGAAGTCAGCTGTCAGCAGGTGAAGATGAATAAAAACATTCCAACAGGTGGGACCTGTTCATCATCTCATGGGGTTCCTCCTTACTTTGATTCTGTCTTCCATCACTCAGTAAATACTAAGTGGCTGTTTGCAGCCATTTCAAATGTTATTCTATTAAATGGCTGTTTTTAGAGGTTAAAAGTCCCATAGCATGGCTTTAGATTGTACCTCCTACCTGCCAATAGGGTGTTATTACCGAATAAATCCTAACGCTAACGTAATTCCTGCTTTTTGTGCAGAATTAATTCATCTATTTATGGGTATTTTAAAAATAATTTCAGTAGTTCTTCATATAGTGTAAAAAGAAAAAAGTATCTGCAAAGGCCTAATATAAAAAAAAAAAAAAAAGTTTTTCATCGCCACATTATATCCGCGTGACTGAAGCGTAGAATTCACGTTGAAAACTGCAGGGTTTCGTCCCGGAGTACAGTGCTAGTTCACAGCTCACGATGTTTGTTCTCACACTGTGCGACCCGACGCTCTGATGCGATCTACCTGCTCACACTGTACGACTAAAAACCAGGTGGGACTCAGCTCCGCAGCGAGATGGCGCTACTCGGACTTGTCTATCCAGGAGCCAAACCAGTAGAAGAGGAATATGAAGCTCACTAGAGTGAAACGCGCTGCCTTGGTAATTTGGGGAATTTTGTGCATAAATAGAAAAGGAGACGACGTATTTAGACAAAGACATGGCTGAGCGAACGTGGCTACTACGGTCTGTCAATTTTGAAGAAATAACTCCATTTCACTCATTGCACCCCCGCCATGATTCCTTTTTTTTGTCTGAGAAGAAGAAGAAGAATCCTTGTTTGCGCAGTGAGTGATTTGCTCACGACCACCTTACTACTAGCCTCGTGAGACCATCCTGATCTCGCGAGCTTTTAAGGTTTCACTCGCTAATCAGCCTGGAGACTCTCCGTTAAAGAAAATTTGGAGCCGTTCACCAAACGAACGTCCAATCAGCGTTGGCTTTGAGGCGGGTTGAGGTGTGACGCAACGAGAAGCGCGACAGTTCAGTCTAAAGAACATGGCGGCTTCAGCCGATGAAACTAGCGTTAGCGTGGCTATCGAGCAAGTTTTATCGGAATTACAGAGTATTTCTTCGCTGAAAGAAGAGCAAAACACTGCTCTGGAGGCTTTTCTCAGAGGAAAAGATGTTTTTGCTCTTCTCCCGACTGCTTTCGGCAAGAGTTTGATCTATCAATTGGCTCCTCTTCGTCGTCGCTCTGTTAGTACGTCATATGCTTCGTTGATCTGATTGGTTTATTTGGCCCGTCTATCACCAACATAGGCCAATCAGCTAACCAGTATTTTCGCCCCTTCCCAAAATTACTGCAACGGAGGCGCAGTCGGGTTACCTTACGACGGCCAACTGAATTTAAACCATGTTTGATTTTCTCCTGACCTTACGGTTCCCGATCGGGAGGCTGATGGGCCGCCGTTACCCCCCGTATATTACACAGTGCACGATCAGGCTGAAAGTCGGCCTGATGGACAAATTTTTTGCACTACTGGAGAATCGGCCCGAAAAGGGAAACAAAAAATCTGTACAGTGTGCGCTCAGCTAAAATAGGTATCGTACATTGTACTTAAAGTAGATAAAACTATAAAGTAGGTAGGTATATAGTAAATAAATCTTATGGTTTTAGATGCGGCCAAAGCAGCTCTTATTAATCCCATAAGAAGCCGACTAGAAGGTGAAACAGTCTGAAGCCATTCTATGGCGGTGCTGTTTGACTGAACTTTTCTATAATGCTGTTGCTCTCACACATCAATGTTCTCTAACAGATATCGGTTCTGCCAAATCCTTGTTAAAGACGTCTAACTCAGACTATAAAGGACGTCTAAAGGCAGTCTGAGAATCTTCTCCCCATTAATATTTAATTCCGTGAATTAATGTCGCCCATTCTTTAATAAGATCCTCATGTTTGGGGGACTAAATCAGGAAATAAAACGACTTGATTGGTTTTTAAGGAGGGAGGAGAGAAAAAACCTGCATGTAACCAGGTTAGCTCTGGGGAAAATGTTACCATGGTAACAGAAACAGAGGAAACTCTTTGTGAAACAGAAAACTCAAAACGTTTCCCTGATTTTCAGGAGTTTGTGCAAATATGGTGAAAGCAGCGGCCTGATTGTGAACTAATGAAGTCATCAATACATCATACATGTACTATAAATCTTTACATTCGACATTAGAAGAATGTTTAATGATTTAAGTTTAAATACATACTAATTAGACCAGATCTACAATCATTAATGCTTCATAAATGTCGCCTTCAATGCTAAGAAAGAGAAAAATTGGTGTTCTACTTCAAACAGCCAGGCTGCTCACAGTGTGAATTCACCAAACATCCCAAAGCACATCTCCGACTTTCTTCAAGGGTGACGAGTCTAAACATCCCATAATAACCCTGAGGCGTTAAGGACTCAGATGCTCAGAACACTGCTGGTTCTTCAAGAAGTTTAATCTGGACTAAAAACTAAAATAAAACGTCTCACTCAGCCGGGCTGGATCTCCTTCACAGCACACCTGCTGCGCTCTAACAAGGCATCGGATCGGGCATTCAACCACGATGGCACTCAGAAAATGCCCTAAGATGGAGAGCTTGCTGAATATTTCTTCGATATGGAGAGTACATTTTCATTCTGCGTTGGGAGGGTTTGCGTAGGTTTTTTACAGTATGGTGCTGGAGGGGTGAGGGAGTGGAAGGAAGCAGCTTTTAGAGTTAAAGAAACATCAAGTTTAGTAAACTAAAGCAGTAACTGGCAGCAGGGGGCTCAAGGAAAGAAGAGTGATGGCAACAGAGGCATCCCTCACTTTCAGACTCCTTCCTTATTTTCTGGGCTAATCTGCAGCGGCCCACCGACACGCTCTTGGCACTTTTGGGGCATGAAACATGTTTGAACGAAATGACGGACGAAAAGGCTCGTTCGGCTGGTTTCCTCACTGTGCGCTGCTCTCAGTCCGCAAGGCTTTGATCACACTTTGGATATTTTCCTCCGGAACCTGGAAGAGAAGCAAAAAACAGAAATGATGTTTTTTAGACCGTAACGAGGCTGTAAGGTGGATATATACTCCTGATCCCCAGAAAAACCCTGAATATTTAAAGGAAAATAAAAAGGAGCATCTAGAGCAGTTTTATGGTGTGTGATGATAGATTATCCTTTTTCTTCTCTATGTTGCTGGTCTACAGCCCCGTGAGACCATCCTGATCTCGCGAGCTTTCAAGGTTTCACTCGCAGATCAGTCTGGAGACTCTCCGTTAAAGAAAATTTGGAGCCGTTCACCAAACGAACGTCCAATCAGCGTTGGCTTTGAGGCGGGTTGAGGTGTGACGCAACGAGAAGCGCGACAGTTCAGTCTAAAGAACATGGCGGCTTCAGCCGATGAAACTAGCGTTAGCGTGGCTATCGAGCAAGTTTTATCGGAATTACAGAGTATTTCTTCACTGAAAGAAGAGCAAAACGCTGCTCTGGAGGCTTTTCTCAGAGGAAAAGATGTTTTTGCTCTTCTACCGACTGGTTTCGGCAAGAGTTAGCCTGGCTGTTAGTACGTCATATGCTTCGTTGATCTGATTGGTTTATTTGGCCCGTCTATCACCAACATAGGCCAATCAGCTAACCAGTATTTTCGCCCCTTCCCAAAATTACTTCAACCGAAGGTTTCCAGATGGATATGCGGAGCAAATCCATCTGGCGGAGTCAGGTTAGCTGGTCTAAATCGTGCTAAAAATCCTCCAAGTAATAAACATTGAGAGTTTTACAGTATGCTACACGCCTATAGCGATCCCCAGCTGTGACGTCAGTGTAGTCAAACGTTCTCTCAGTTGGAATTGATATACAAAAGTATCAACGGCTTGTTTTCTCTGTTGTACAGCTTTAATAAAGAGCCTGATGGCAATTAAGCTTGACTCAAAGCATTGTTTATTTCATAAAAAAGCTAGCTGCACAGTTTAGTAGAGCTGCAGTTTCAGGCGGATTTCCGTGGCTCGATAACAGTCGGTTACCGCAGGCGGAGACCCACATCTTTAACGCCACCGGCGCTAAAGATGAGCCGAACAGGGAAAAAAACACCTGAAAGGCCATGTTTCCCATCCGGACAGCAGAAAGGATCCGGTTCTCGGATCCTTTCCAGCCGCCACGAACAGTAGAGGAACACCGCGAAGAGACGACCAGGCCAGAGGCTGCCATTGAAAGGGGGTCTGAGCAGCTTCGACAATGAAACAATATTTCAGGGTTCCTACAGCATAAGGCCACTTAAATTCAAGACTTTTTAGGACTTTTTAATGCCACTGGAAATAAAATTTTAAGACCAAATTCACAACAAACACAAGAAAACCTGCTTGCGACAACTTAACCCAAAGGTTTATTTTAACATAAACCACTGCACTAATGTTTCAAATGTTGAAAAGCTTCCCATACAGGAAGAAAGCTAAAAACACACAAATGACAGATATATTTGAACAATTATTTAACTGAATTCACAAACTTTGTTTTAGCAGGGAACAAAACTAATCAGTTTTAAAGCCACAACATAACCAGTGCTAAGTCTTTTTTGCAGCTATTTTTCTTTGTATGGTTTTCTTAGTATGTTTGATTTGGTGATAAGTGGAGGCGTTGCAGAGACAAGGGTGGAACTAAACTGAAAAATACCGGCTGTTTCTCTGTAACTCCATTTTGACGCTTTGTGTTTCGTGCTTCGCATGTGCGACTCCACTGCCTTAATTCCCATCGTTCTGAGCTTGAATGACTTCTTGCACTAAATCCACTGAGCCTCATGTATGTTCCCTGGTTTTAGCCATGGAGAAAACTCTTGGCTGGAGACAATTTAGGTTACATTTACACTTGCTCATATTTTGCAGACAAAAAGTTAATGGTGCATCTCCCAAATGTCCCTGCCGCAACAACGCTTTATTGGTTCCGCTATCGGGACGGAACCAATAATGGCGAGCAGTTTTTTTTTTTTTTAAATAAAAAAAAAATGTTTTCAATTTTAATGTTTTATTTAGATTACAAAAATAAATCGTAATAAAAATAATCCTATTTATGATGTTTTAAAAAATAAGATCTACGAAAGACTGAATTAAGACATTTTAATACCAATTAAGGCCCTAGTTTTATTTTGAAGACTTCAATGCCTTTTAAGACTCTGATATTTAAAGGCAGGATGGTAATCTGGATGAACTGGCTGCACAGATTACTGTAAGTTTTCAGGTGGATTTTCTCACTGAAAACATATTAAAACTACTTTTTACCCCCTGATCACAGCAAATTTTAACAAAGCCGCTCTCTGCCATTGAACACAGGAGCATCAGACGCATCTGGACACACTTTACTGGACGTCAGACCTTGAAGGGGAACACCGATTTTTTTATTTTTTTTGGCCCCTTGATTTTACATTATTCCATCATGTTCTACTCACCCATATGAGTTTAGTGTCATTTGGAGCCGTTCTGAAGATATTCCGTTAGATTATATCCAGTAACATTTTCCTATGGGCAACGATTTGAAGGCACAAACTAAACTGTTCATCATTTATTCTTTATGGTACGCCAGCATTCAGAACTATTAGGCCAATCACTGTCCCCCAGACATCCGCTGTTATATTTTCTATATTTATATATTTTTAAAACAAAGTGGAGTGTGTATGAGTGTGTAAGTCGTTGCCCATAGGAAGACGTTACTGGATATAACCTAACGGAATATCTTCAGAACGGCTCCAAATGACATTAAACTCATATGGGTGAGTAGAACATGATGGAATAACGGAAAATCAAGGGACCAATGGAAAAAAAAAAAAAAAAAAAAAAACGGCGTTCCCCTTTAATGTTAACAACCATCAACAACCAGCGCTGGCGGTCTGAATATAGAATTACCCCCAACATCTACTGCATATCAGAAACCAACTACTACACCTTGCTTTGATAAACCCAACTGTCCCCTCTGGGTTTCCTTACCAGGGCGTGGTCGAACTTGAAGGTACTAATGTAGTAAGCTGGAATGTCAGCTGTTGCCAGAGGTTCTGATATTTGAGCCACGATCCCACATTCATCTACAAAACAAAGCAAGAAACCGGGCCGTCGTTATTCTCCTGAAAAGAACCCGCCGTTCTGTCAGATGAGCATACCCTGTCAGACCAACATACCCATAGTCAATACCCGTTTATCCCTTTAGTTTTGTACAAAAAATAAACTAAAACTACATCAACGGGCGTGTTTCCCTTTAGTCGTGTACAAAAAAACTATTTCATTACTTACTTTTTTGGTGTTTTTGTTTATTTTATTACAGGTAGTTTAAAGTGTATTTTTGGTACAAAACTAAAGGGATAAAATAAAATATGATGTCTTGCTAATGCCTTTTGACTATGGGCAGAGATGGCAAAAGTACTCACTTTCCGTACTTGAGTAAAAGTACAGATACTTGTGTTAAAAAAATCCTCTGGTAAAAGTGGAAGTACTGATTAAACTTCTTTACTCCAGTAAAAGTAACAAAGTACAGGCTTGTAAATTTACTTAAAGTATAAAAGTAAAAGTAGAAACCACTTTTTTCATGCCGTTGCCTACATTTTAAATGGATGTCTGCCAATAGGACTAGATCTCCGTTGTGTTCATTTTCAATCATCTCGTCGTCCATGCTACTATGCTAACGCCACCGCCACCAAGCTGCAATGATTTGCCACCAATGAATACCGCCGAATCTGTCGATTCATCTTGTAGTGGTGCGTCAAATGCAACGTAGATTCCCATCCAATTAGATTGAATTTGGTATTGATGACGTGAAAAATAATAACGGTAACTCCATTGAAATGATTCAAAACTAAAGTAACGAGCCAATTTTTTAGAATGTAAGGAGTAGAAAGTACAGATATTTGTGTAAAAATGTAAGGAGTAGAAGTAAAAAGTCGCCATAAGTATTTGTACTTCGTTACTTCCCATCTCTGACTATGGGTATGCTGGTCTGACGGGGTATGCTCATCTGACAGAACAGCGGCACTGTTTCAAAAAAATAAAAAACCTTAAAGGGAGGTCTTACCGAAGCCTAAAGGTTGTCCTCCAATCCGAACCATTTTCCAGAGCTCACCAGAGGCACTGGTGAAAAGCACATTGTTTGGAAACCTTGAAGAGAAGAAATAACAGATGAGATTAGAACTACAGTCCAGTCATTCAGGTGTGTCCCTCTGGCTTTGCCACGCCAGAACCCTGATATGCTTCTTTCAGTCTCCAAACCTAAACCCAATAGAGAATCTTTGGAGGGAGCTGAAACCAGTGTTGTTTTTAATGACGAAATCATTTCGTTCACGCTCCTTTGTTTAAAATGACAATAACAAAACTGACAAGATAAACATGGATCTTTTATGACGAAAACATGGCTAGTCAAAGTTTTCAGTTTTAATCATCGAGACGAGACTAAATGAAAATTAGTGGGTGGATTAGTGGGCGATCTGCTAAGCAGTATCACCTGTGCAGCTGCGTCCTGTTCGATCATGCCGCCCACCTGCAGCGCAGCGTTGCACAGGCTGCAGGAGCACAGATTGATCAAGGCAGCAGCGGCAGAGTCTGAGAAAATAATCCGGACTGGTCTAGTACTGGTCTAGTTCAACTCTGACAAACTGATCTCCCAGCTGTGCTTGTGCAGAAATGCGTCTTTGCGCGCTGAGCTGAGAGTCTGCGCTTCACGCTGCACTCTGATGGTTCGCTCTCAGCACTACGGCTCTTCCACCATCGCTACTTAAACTATGTGGCTGATCATCCTCTGCCAAGCGTAAAAAAAACCCTTTACTATAAAGATTTTACTTCTTCCAGTTCAAAAGAGGCGATACTAAACATTCTTTAATTCCTACCACAAGGAATCCCTAAATTATATCCAAAACAAACATTTCATTGCATTCTGTTTGTCTTTGGATAAAGAGCCCGATGAAAAGGTACATAGATCTTTGAATATTTCTCTCGTTTCTAACTATTTAAATATAATGTAAATTTTTTCTTGTAATGTCATTTAAACATTTTTCTCTGTTTCCTTTAAATATTTCAACATTTTAGTTTTTCATATTTCATTACATTTAGGTCTGATTGCCAATTAGGTTCTCTCTGCATTTATTTTATATCAAAACACTGAATTTAAATCAACTTTGACTTTGAATGTTTTTTGTGCTTTGCTTTTTTAGAGCAATGAATACATAGTAGATCAGGAGGTGTTTGCTTCCATTCCTTTATTGGACATTTTGTTAGCTTGTCTGCTATTTTGACCAATATGATGTGTTGAACTAGATCTGCTATTTGTACAGGTTAACTTTTTTTGCAACATAAAACTCACTAAAACCGACTAAAACTATCACATATCGTAATGACTAAAATACGACTGAGACTATTAATAGTTTTTGTCCTGAAGACGGAGACGAAATCTAAGATGGCTGTCAAAACAACAGTGGCTGAAACTCCAGGTTTCTAAGCGAAAGCCCAGAAACCTGACTGATCTAGATTAGATATGTGTGGAGGACTGGGTTTATTGTAAGAAAAGTGGACAAAAGCTAACCTGACTCCGCCAGATGGATTTGCTCCGCATATCCATCTGGAAACCTTCCGTAGAAGTAATTTTGGGAAGGGGCGAAAATACTGGTTAGCTGATTGGCCTATGTTGGTGATAGACGGGCCAAATAAACCAATCAGATCAACGAAGCATATGACGTACTAACAGAGCGACGACGAAGAGGAGCCAATTGATAGATCAAACTCTTGCCGAAACCAGTCGGGAGAAGAGCAAAAACATCTTTTCCTCTGAGAAAAGCCTCCAGAGCAGTGTTTTGCTCTTCTTTCAGTGAAGAAATACTCTGTAATTCCGATAAAACTTGCTCGATAGCCACGCTAACGCTAGTTTCATCGGCTGAAGCCGCCATGTTCTTTAGACTGAACTGTCGCGCTTCTCGTTGCGTCACACCTCAACCCGCCTCAAAGCCAACGCTGATTGGACGTTCGTTTGGTGAACGGCACCAAATTTTCTTTAACGGAGAGTCTCCAGACTGATCTGCGAGTGAAACCTTGAAAGCTCGCGAGATCAGGATGGTCTCACGAGGCTAGACAAAAGCAGCTGCCTTATTCAAATTCTCCCATTTGAAATTACATCATTTAATTTTTTTTCTCCTGATATTAAAATCTGATGATTTAAAACATAAAGATAATCTTTCAGAAATACTATAATCAACTAAAACTTTAAATTAGATATCTTTGTGCTCAAAATCATTGAGTTTTCTTTTTCCTGTTCTGTTTACTTAGTTATAAGAAGGTAAAAAAAGAAAAAAAAAAGATGTCCAGTGATTAAAAAGGACATAGATGAGCAGCAGCAGCAGGTAAAATAGGAAAAGCAACTGTAAAACAAATAGCACCCCCATTCCTTTAAGACATGTTAAAGGAGGGGGAAATAAAACATGGGCACAGTTCTAACCTACATGCTGCAGAAACTTTTAGAAATCTTCAGCTTCCCCCATATTTTTTAAGTCATTATGATTTCCTTTATGACATTAAACACGTGTCCCTCTATTTCTGAATGGTCTGGCTTTGATTAGGCTGTTAGGGACGAGGTAAATGTCTTCATGAGCTCGGAGCTTAATGAGGGTGTAGATGGAGAGGAAAAAAGGGGGACTCAGTGGAGAAGGAATGAGTCAGAATGACACCCACTGTGATTTAAGAACACCACGTCCACCCTAGAGGTTTGTTATTGCTTAGCAACAAACTAATCACCCCCTCAAATAACAATCATGAATTTATTCCCCCGACATAAACGTAACGACCCCTTTGGCAGAGCAGGGAAGGAAAACAACATGTTGAGAAAACAGGCGTGGGCTTCTTTTGGAGAAGCATTATAATAGGTTTGGTTTATGCTAACCTCTTAGCCGTCTGTTCGTCCATCACCAGCGAGATGTAGCCCTCAATCAGGGAGAAGGAGAAGAAGCGGATGTGACTGGAGTCCTCGCCGGACGCTGAGACCTCTTTAGACCTGGATAAGAAACAGAAACCCTCAGGGACTGGTTCCTCTAATGGTCACATCCAGGCCAGTGTCATCTAGTTTGATCTCAGATTACAAACCTGAATGAAAATATGATTCAGCTCAGCACAAAAAAAGCCACATGTGTAACTATTAAATGTTGGAATTTAAAGGTATAGTGGAGGATGATCTTTTTCTGGGTGGATCATCAAAATAAGCGGTCCTCCTAACTGTCAATCATTTTGGTGATATGTTGACGTTAAGGCCTTCATTCGTGCTCGACCCCATTTTCACTTACCGGTGACGAGTCTGACATGGTGGAAACATTGCAAATCATCTTTTGGAAAATAAGCTTGCATGAGCGATGCAAACAGCAAGTTTTAAAGGAAAAGTCTAGTAATATTCAGAATTAAAACTTCTAAAAGTACTCTCTCTTCTTTCTCTGGCATGGGAGCTGGCTCGGAGCTCGTCTGCCTGGGTGTGTGTTTCCTGGACGGGGCCGCCTTTTACAGTTGCTTTTTGTATCTATGCTTCTTTTTCTATGTCTGCTTCTGTCTCCTTGAACCCCAGTGGGCCTCAGCAGATGGCCGCTCACACTGAGCCTGGTTCTGCTGGAGGTTTCTTCCTGTTCAAAGGGAGTTTTTCCTCTCCACTGTCGCTACAAGCATGCTTAGTGTGAGGGATTGCTGAGGAGTCAATGAGTCGATGCAATCAGCTGGTTTTCCTTAGATAGAAAACTTGGAATCAATCTGACTGGATGATCTGGTGAACTGGAAAGTGCCTTTAGATGACATGATGTGAATTGGTGCTATAGAAATAAACTGAGTTGAAAAAATTAAATTGAATGGTGAAGATTATCTGACTGAAGCCAGAAATATTTGCAGAAAACCACAACTTGAGCATTTCTGTTCTTAATTTCAAGAACAGCAAGACATGAGTACTTTGTAGGTTTTAACCACCTAACTGAGTCAAACACCTCAATATGATCAGAGCCATTCTGGTTCTGGATTCCTTTTTAAAATGGGATTTTGTCTTTTGAAATAAAGTCTATTCTAATGTTGGAGTCCGATTTAGATTTTTATACTTATATATATATATATATATATATATACACAGTTTATATATCTTTTTTTGGTAGAAAGTAAATATTAGCTGCCTCATGCTTCAGTGCTATAGAACACATTTGAATCAGGAAATCGTTAATTCATTACAACAACAGGTTGTTTTTTTATTTTCTCCCATAAAAATATCCTGCTTTATTTCATTTAAACTCTTATTAGATATTTCTAAAAGGATTTATGCAGAAAAATATTAATTAATTTAGAAAGAAATAAAGCAAAGATTTGTTTTTTGCTGCAGGAGTTTAACTTCCTGTTCGGACTGAGCTCCAGATCTCAACCATGATGCAGAGAAATCTCTCCCTAATTCAGAAAACCAAACCTGATCAGCCTCAGACTTTATAAAACTTAAATGGAGCCTCATCCACCATCCGACGGGTTTGTCACAGAAAACAGGTTTTAAGAGAAGCATCTTACCCTCCGGAGTAGAACATGACGTCCATGAGCAGCGTGGCTACAGAGGGCAGCGTGTCTGGATCCAGGCTGGTCACACAGAACATGTTGCTGGGGCTGGACAGAGGGTGGATGATGGGGCGGGGCACTGAGAGATTACAGAAAATATGTAAAAGTAAATATCAACCTACACCCAATGAGGTCCTGCAAGCTGGACCCTAAAGCCGCTGTCACCCTGCAAAAACCACCTCAAAATGAGTAAAAATGTCTTAAATTAAGTGTATTTAGCCTTAATTTCAGCAGGTAAATAAGATGATTTGCCAATGGAATTAGTATTTTTACTCTTAAAATACCCTATCTAGATATTATGCACTTGAAATAAGACAATGCAATTGTTTTTTCTTGTTTAAAGTGTAAATTGTCTTTTTCCATTGGCAAAGTGTCTCACTTTAATCCTTAATTCAAGAAAAAATGCACTCATTTTAAGAAAAAATGACTTATTTAGATTTTATTTTTTTGCAGTGCACTAGGGGTGGGCGATATGACGATTTAAGACCGTGTTACGATCTACACCTCTAACGATCTGTCATTATTAAGAGACCGTTTTATCAGGATCCACAGAACTGCAGTGCTGCTGTATTTCTGCCACTGACCACAATTACATGCAACCGAAAAAAAACCTTCACAGCTAGAATATAATCCGAGGGTTTGACGTTCGTCCGTTAGTTTGAAAATCAGTTAAGGCAGGTTTGTAGAAACACCCACCAAGTTTTGGTTTCACGAATCCGTTGGTAACTCCCAGATTGTGTGCGGCGACCGTTTCTCCGTTGACCACCCGGAACAGCGTGAACTCGGAAGACAGAGTGTGCATGACCAGTGGCAGGTCTCGCTCTCGGACCTGAAACAGATATATTAGCAGAAGCATTCAGAGGAGATGTCGCAGAAAGCTTTTGTTGTTGTTTTTCCTCGAAACATTTAAAGTTTCTTTGTTGTTTTTGTTTTGTTTTGCAGGAAATGAAGCAGAAGAATTTTATTAGCGTGAAGCTAATTTAGGGACAGGATTTCCCTGAGATGCACAGATATGGAAATTTGGGCCAATACCGAATACGGACTAATGGCCTGGACTTACAGATTATTTTTATTATATTTTTATTATTATATATTATACATGTATGTTTCGCTATCCTTTTTAAACTGTGAAAAGATCAATATTTTTGTAATATAATTAAGCATTTACCCATCAGTTTCCTGTCAGTGAATAAAAACAAATCCTGCTGATACGCCGAGTTAATTTGTAAGCTTCATCAAATGACATGTATAGTTTCAACCAGCATGCAGCCTGTCACACACAGTATAAAAACCTTTCATAAAACTATTTTGCATTTAAAATAATAGAATAATGAGGCATCAAGTTCAAATTTTTGTTTCCTTCCAAAAATTGGAGATGACAATCCATTATCTCGCAGTTTGGGATTTAATTTACTGATAAATGCAACACAAAGAAATTTAACAGCTAATGCAGATTTCTATTTATTTTGTTTTCCACAAAAAAATGGGATAAAAATGTAAAATAAAACATTATGAGACAATGAAGCGTCAATGAGGCGACCAGTGCAGAAAATGTTTGCTTCTTTCAGTGTAAAACAGCCCATGTGGAGACAGGAAGCAGGTCTGAGTTTGGTGCCGCTTCCAAGAAGCTGAGCTGCTGATCCTCTTTATGTAACAGATTATGAACATGCACAGAGCCTTTATTTTATCCTGTATAAAAAAAAAAATTAAAAAAAAAAAAGGAGCAGGTCACCAGACCTTGTTTTTCCACAAGAGTGAAGCAGTAAGACTCCATCTGGCCTAAGAGGCCTGGATTTCCTTCTAATTTAAAAATCAGACAGTCAGCTGGAACCAGAACATTACATCCACTGTTATTGCCTTTTTCATGTCAGGCTCTATGCTTATAAACAACTGTGCTGCCAGTGGTTGCATAACAGACAAATAATGCATCAGTTACAGCAGGCTACAAAGCCGATCAGCTGTGAGCTCTGGGCCGGCATGTGTGATGCGACACCGACCTGTTGTGTTATACCCAAGATGGATGGTTAGATAAAAACAATTTCTGCTAAATCTTAGCTTAACCACATGCAAACTGATTACTTAGAGCTGGGTTAGCATTACAGCAGGTTTCATAGATGATTAAACCTCACCTGCTATAAAGACGCTTATCAAAGCAGAACATCATTAAAACTTGATTTGTCAGGAATTCAGTTCCTCGTTGTTAGGGAGCTTTTCTTTACTGCATTTTTATCTGCTGCTAAACTTTCTGTATATATGCACGGTAGCATTACTCTAAACAACCATCTTCTTTATCCTACCTAGTGAAGGAGCGTCTGCAGGGCAAATGTGAAACGCTTCACATGTTCTTCAGGTTTTTTTTATGTTATTTTTCCAAATTGTTTCAGGTCAGTACCTGAATCATTTTTTTAGTAATGTTTATTTGCAGAGTCTTTAACATGAACCAATCACGCTCCTTAATTTAGGAACTATTATAGTATTTTATGATAAAGCATTTCTTTGTTTAAAGTAGAATGGGAGGCAGATCTTTTAGTTCTCAGGCTCCTCTCCTGTGGAACCAACTACCAGTTTTAGTCCGTGAGGCAGACACCCTGTCTACTTTTAAGGCTAGGCTTAAAACTTTCCTTTTTGATAAAGCTTCTAGTTAGAGTGGCTCAGGTTATCCTGATCTATCTCTATAGTTCTGCTGCTATAGGCTTAGACTGCTGGAGGACATAGGGACCCCTTTTTCATCATTCTGCTTCATTCTATCTCTATTCTCCCACTCTGCAGAATCTGTTAGTTCAATCTCTAACGTTCTGCTCTCTCTGCTTTTTCTCATAGTAGCTTCATCTGGTCTGTTCCTGTTTGGCTGTGACTCCATCCTGGAGAGAAATATCAGCTGTGCTGCTGCCATCAACACCTTTGTTTCTGGATGTTGGAGATCAGCCTGTTTTTCAGTGTAGTCCTGTTTCTCTGGCTGTGACTAACTGGAACAAATTATTTCTGCAACCATTGTGGCTATTACTTTCATTAAAGCAGGAGCACCAACATTTTTATCCACATGTGTATTTTCTGTGTTTAAAAAACAAAAAACAAAAAAACAAGGCCTTCATTTGACAGTGGACACTAGATTAGCAAATTCATCTATGTGCAAAAAAAAGACAATATATGAGGACTTCCAAGTAAGTGCTGGACCATCGTGATGTGCTCATTCAATATATTTGAAACAGTGTTTGGTATTTCAACAGATGCCCACATCTGAAACAGACGACTTTGATGAAGATATGTTAAGGAAAAGTCCGGTATTCAAAATTCAAACTTCTTAAATTATTACATCCTCTTCAATAAATGATAAGTGTTTTTATTTAAGACAAATTTTCATGTGAATGTGCTTTACTGGAGGCATCCATGTTTGTCAAAGAACACTACTGCCACCTACTGGTTAGTGACGTCACGGTGCGGTATGGGCTGTTGATCAAGTCCCAGTGCTGTATCTGGTGTTTGTCACAACGCGCTATTATCCAAGTCATCTAGAAAACATTCTTCTTCCAAATGTTGGCTACATATTACGGGTTTTTTCTCTGGCCAGAAGTTCGATGGCAAATCCTCCCTCTTCAAGTTGGCGATCCAACGACCAACCCGTCCGTGGAGGATCAGGAATCAGAAAGGTGGAATAACTCTTTTTTTCCACTTTTACCCGATGTATTCCAGCATCCAGCTGCCATGCACGTGGGCATTGTCAGTTTCACTATAGCTCTGGTGAATTTCAATGGTGAAGTCCTCTGGAAATCTTCAATAATTGTTGTTGATTGCAGATGTGTCTAGTAGTTCCCATTGATTTTGCTTGTAAAGCGGGGAGAATGGCGCTAGGCTTACCGCACCGTGACGTCACTGATGGAAGATGGCAGGAGGGAGGGGTTACTATATTTGGGCAAAAATGGCCGCTCCTTGACTTATTTTTTTACTGATTAACGGTAAATTCACCACGAACGTATTAGTTTTAGGTATAAATAATGATCCACTGATTATTCCTGCTGACCGGACTTTTCCTTTAAAGGCCACAGTGAATTGAAAGCAGCGTTACTTTACCAGTCAAGAGGAGAACAAAAGGCTTAAAATCCTTCATCTCAATCCAATCCTGTCCATTCCTGCACCGTTCTAGCCTCTACGGTACAATGTAAACACCTTGGATGGTTGACCCGAGCTTATTGACATACAGTACCTCTCTGATGAAACTTATGGATTCTACCTTCTTTCCACAACCCTGAAACTTTTCCTCAACTTACTTATTTTATCAATTATTAAGCAAACACTGGCTGCCATGTTCAGAGTGAAACAGCTCCTTCAGAAACCACAGGACCAGACCTACAGGGATTCTGACTTCGTGAAGAAAATCTCTTAAAGCAGAGGCCCTGCAAAATCATTCAGAAGGCCCCTAAGTGGGTCCGGAAACTTACCAGGATGAAGTCAGTCTGATACGTTGACAGCATGAAAACAGAGATGTTGTGGTCGGCTAGTGGAGCGATGACTGATTTAGCGATTTTGGTGACTCCGATGGGTTGTGAGCTGGAAGCGCTACCGCCGCCTGACACCACATTGAGGGCCAGCCATGTGGCATCAGCAACACTGATGAGATTTGACTGCGGCAGCTCTGAGGAAAAAGGACAGACAGCAGAGATGTTCACTGTTTCAAAGAGAATCCAATGACTGGCAGAAGCTTATTAAATAAAATTAGATTCCTGGTTTCCAAATTTACTAAATACTGCATTTTTATGTCCTCTGCAGATCCAGTTGAAGTCAGAAGTTTGCGTTCAGTTGGGATTAGCTTTCCTTCAGAAATGTGGGTTTTATATAAAACCCATTTTCATATAAAAAAACATTTACGTTTTCAGAAATGAGTTCTATAAGTTGTAGAAATCTAAGCAATCTCCAGTCCAAGCCCAGTTGTTCAACACTGGGTAGGTGCCGGTAGGTACCAGAACTGCTCGGGGCCCCGCCCCTTCTTATGACGTCCACATATGGCAACTCTACTCGTACATATAGGCCGTTTCTCAATATGCGTTCTTGAGCGTTCTCGTGTGCTCGTGTACTCGTGACACGTCATCAGCCTCAGCCCGAGTACCGTTCCAATTCTCAAGAACGCCAGATCGAGAACGCATCAAATCCCCGGATGTTGTTCTCGCCCCGCCCTCTTTATCGAGCATGCATCAGAGCAGACTTGTGCGTTCTTTGTTCACCAGAAACAGAATTTTTTCAGCTTTGTTATGAATCAGGTTAAACTTCATCGGTCAATAGACACGCTAATGCTACAGATGCTACCGACTCGGCACTGATGCTGCGTGATGTTATCGTTGTCTGGGCAACCACAATGTTCTACATCATGTGGCAACCTTCAGCCAATCATGTAGGGCAACATCACTGGTATGAAGCAGGACCCGAGCAGATGTGGTACCAACAGCGGCGCCCGTAAACAACGCCACGCAGCTTTAGTTTATGTTTTCTGTCTTTGGGACGAAACAGTTCGAGCTTTCAGGGGTGAAATTTATTGCTTTGTCATGTTTCGATAAAATTCATTCGAGTTTTTTAGCAAATATTTTTGTATGTCTCCAATTTCTCCTCTCTGTTGTTTTGCTGCATTTTTCTGGCCGACATAAATGCCCAGTTAGGATAACCACACGCTTCAAGGGATTTCCTGACATGTTTGTGATCTTCTTGTTTCTCCTCTGCAACTGAAGGAATATTGTCAGCCTGGTAACTCAGAGTTCTGATAACAGAAAGCTTGTGTTCCAGAGCAAAACACAAATATAGGGCTGAATCTGTATGTTTCCAGTAGGCATTAAGATTTCCAGATCACAGACCATGGAGGACAGAAAAGGCAACATTTTATTTTTGGCATCCCCTCCTGTGAATTTGACGTTTCTGTCCAGTTGATGAGGTTTGCGAATGTCTCGCCTTCCTGGGTTTGGATATTGACCTAAATGTCATCCAGATATCTGAACCAGTGAGTCGGTTTTGTTCCTTTGCAGTATTTGTCTGAGTGCTCTGATCTCCACAATGTCTAACCTGAATGCTGCCAGTATTTTTGGCTTTTAGAACTCAAGTTTTTTTATTTCATTTTTGCTCAAGGTGTTTATTTGCCACTGAGAAGGCAACACATAAAACAGAGGAGGAGAGTTTAGTGTCGGAGGTCGTGGATGAGTCTCCTCCGTCATCCATTTTTTATTTAGAGGAGGAAAGCGGGGACGAAGATGTTGTGGAAGAGGACGCCAGGGCGGCAGAAGCTTGGTTTGGTGTAGAAGGCTTCCAGCCGTACATGTTTTAAGTCAGAATGATTTGACATTTAAATATGACTTCCCTACGAATTTATAAAAAGGACAAAACAAGCTGGTTTTCTGGTATTTGAGCAGCTGATTACCAGTTTGGGGGGAAGTTGCCATATTCTGATTAGTTAGCTAACTGATTAGGCCAGCCCTAATGCCTTTATTCATCTTCTGCATGATAGAAGATCTCATATTACTACAAGTTGGGGGAAGTTTCAGAATAACAGCAGATGTCTTCCAGAAATCAAGTAGATAATCATTAAAGCGGCTTAGAATCTAACGCCTCCTTCATAGTTCCACCCAGGACCAACAGGCCTCATTCTCTCCATGTTGGGGTCAGAAACGTGCGTCCCGTTTACCTGATGTCATCTGACACTGCTTGCTTGTGTTTCAACCCCTTTTCTTAGTCCAACAAAACACACAGGCAGACTCTGAGGCACCGATCAGTGTAAAATACCTGCAGCAGTTATGCAACACACAGCATGTGGTCTCCAGAGTAACCACGGAGGGTCACGGTGGAAAAGGCAGTGTAATGACATGGATTCATTCACTCAGCCAACCACAAAGAACGGCAAGCGGCCGATTGGCCTCCCATCTATAACCACAAAGTGTGCTCAAACAGTGGCAGCTGAAGCCGCGGCGGGGCTGGGTGCAATCAGAGAAAACACGATGTGATCCTTCCCCGCAGCCCAATCTGTGGTTGCCACAGCGATCCACGGCGAGGGGCTCACCTTTAAACCCTTCCTCGTCCACAATGATTGTGTAGTCCTCTGGAGTCTCTGTCAAACTGAAGAACTTGCATCTGGAGGACGGGAACAGAAAAGACAGAAAAGACAAAACCGTAAATATTGGATAAAAGGAACTTTAGAAAATCCTCCTCCTTTAGATATTTGTAAAAATTATATAGAACTATTCAGCAAAAAAATATACAAAATTAATAATTTTAAGCAGGTTTGAAAAAACGAACAGTTCTGCATCCAATATGGACCCCCCCAGCAGTATGAAGCGGCGGGGGGGTTGGGGGGAGCTGTTAGAAGAATGTCAGCGATCCAGAAACACTGAGAAATATTACGGTAAAATGATTCAGATTTTATCCTGTATTTTGGTTTATTCATCGACAGTGAGGTTTCTACTTCTTTAAACTTCTATGTTCTCCAACAAACTACTGATAAAACTTACCTGATGATTGGATAACTGGACTTTAGCCTCATTGACAGTTTTTCCTTTTTCTAAATGATATATTTAACCAGTGAGTAGTTTATTGTCAGATCATAAACAGCTGTGATAAAATAAATACGATTCAACTATTCCTGTCAGAAGTTATATCTCTGCTAAAACTGTTTTGGTGACATTTTAACATTTCAGCTATTTGGGATTTATTAAATGACAACAAAGCTGAAGAGTAAATAGAAACAGACTGTGTCTGAGCGTCCGTCCAACCCTTTAATCACTATATAGAGCGGGGACTTTATAGTGAACTTAATAGTGAAGTCAGTTAACCGATCGACCGGACAGATGATCACTACATTTCTCTCCCCGTTGCTCACGTGACTCTGGCTTTCAGCTTGGCGCTTGCACCATCTTTGTTCTTTCTCACCCTTAAACTAAATCCCATGATGCTTTGTGAGGAGAGCTCTGGCAAAGGATTCTGGGATATATATGCTCGTCTAGTGACCATGGCCGTTTCTAAATTGACAAGAACGCGAGTACGGACTCGTTTCCTCGACAGGTATGTTCTTGAGAACAACACAAGAAAGTGTCGACTTAAGGAGAACTGGAGCACCCAGCATAAATCTGGGTCAATAGGGGGTTTTCAGTGACATCACTGGCCAGCTTCCGGTCCGCCATCTTGGGTGGCATATTATCGTATATCATATATATCATGTCGCGAATGGATAAGTACGCCAGCACGCTAGAGCCACCAGATCATGGAACATATCTGAGGAAATGTTCCGTGATCGACCATATGGACCCCTATGCCCTCCATGGTGCCTTGTTTAGCACTAATCCAGATGATTGGCCAAATGTAGAGCATGGCGACATAGTTCATTACCTGGTGTTCAGTGAAAACCCTCTGCACACTCTTGAGGAAATGAGAGCGTACAAGGGTCTAGAGGCTAACAACCAGTTCACATCTGGTTGGGTACGAGATGTCGAAGTGATGTACATGAAGGAAATCGCCATCATACGTGGACGGGTGAGTTTTAATAAGATGGTAAAAATGTAAACAATCCGACGCAGGGCTCGCTATTCTAGGTGGCTAACCCCGGACGGTGCGCGAACAGTTCCAAAGCTACAAGTCCTTGGAGTCTCATGTGCAGTTTACGAATGGATGGGTTCAGGAGCTGCAGCTCATAAAGCCAGCAAACAGTGCTAACCGTTAGTGCTAACAACCACTCAGGCATGTAATGTACTTTTAACTAGCTGCTATGTGTTTCAAAGGTTTGGTTAGTAACGTTAACTGCCAAACCTCCCTAAACTACGGTGGCTGAGAAGTGCAAAACACATTTACAATTCAAAAACACATTATCAAATAAAAAACAAAATAACATTTGAAGAAACAAAATTATATTTTGTGAAACAAATGTATTTTTGAAAAAAAAGTTTAAATTTTTAAAAACAAATTTACATTTTAGCAAACAAATTTACATTAACAAATAAACAAAATAACATTTGAAGAAACAAAATTATATTTTATGAAACAAATGTATTTTTGAAAAAAAAAAGTTTAAATTTTTAAAAACATATTTACAATTCAAAAACACATTAACAAATAAAAAACAAAATAACATTTGAAGAAACAATTATATTTTATGAAACAATTTATTTTTGAAAAAAAAAGTTTAAATTTTTAAAAACACATTTACATTTAAGGAAACAAATTCACATTTTAAATAAGTTAGATTTTAGGTGAGAGAAAGTTTCATTTTAGAGAAAAAAAATACATTATAGGGAAACAAATTTACATCTAAAAAAAATTGACCGTTCAGAAACACTTGTACAAGTGCAAAGACAAAACTGCAAGTGGCAAAACACATTTACATAGCCAAAAACAAATTAACAAAAGACGGCTACACGGAAAGGGAATGTCCCAGTGGCCGGATGTGACGTCACGATTACCCTGACTTGTAGTACAAACAGCTCAATCTGTAGTCCTCCTGCTTCACGTGAAAAGTCAGCGGCGATTTTAGATGGAAAGAATTGCACTGAAGCTGTTTTTCTTAAGTTTACGCTAACCGAACAATGTTTTCAGCCAATTTACACCATTTTGTTCTTCGTGCGGACGGTCTCTGGAACTTTTACGGGACACGGTACAAGGTGGCAGGACCAAGCAGCAGGGCCGGGCTCAATTCGTGACAGTGGCTGCGGCAGAGCCGGCCATCGGAGTGGCCGTTGTTGCCCGCTGCCGGCAGAGCCTGCCATCGGAGTGGCCGTTGTTGGCCGCTGCCGGCAGAGCCTGCCATCGGAGAGGCCGATGGTGGCCGCTGCCGGCAGAGGCCACTTATTCGCAGATAAAGTACTCCGTTCCATCAAGTAAATGTGACATTATAAAAGTTTTAATGCAGTTTATTAAGCGATAACATCACAATATATAGCATATATATATACATATATATATAGCATATATATATACATATATATATAGCATATATATATACATATATATATAGCATATATATATACATATATATATAGCATATATATATACATATATATATAGCATATATATATACATATATATATAGCATATATATATACATATATATATAGCATATATATATACATATATATATAGCATATATATATACATATATAGCATATATATATACATATATAGCATATATATATACATATATAGCATATATATATACATATATAGCATATATATATACATATATATATAGCATATATATATACATATAGCATATATATATACATATATATATATAGCATATATATATACATATATATATAGCATATATATATAGCATATATATATATAGCATATATATATAGCATATATATATACCATATATATATAGCATATATATTCAATTCAATTCAATTCAGTTTATTTATATAGCGCCAAATTCACAACACATGTCATCTCAAGGCACTTTACAGTTCAACCAGATCATCCAGTCAAATTGATACAAAGTTTTCTATCTAAGGAAAACCAGTTGATTGCATTGACTCATTGACTCAAATACAATCCCCCACACTAAGCATGCTTGTAGCGACAGTGGAGAGGAAAAACTCCCTTTTAACAGGAAGAAACCTCCAGCAGAACCAGGCTCAGTGTGAGCGGCCATCTGCCGAGGCCGACTGGGGTTCAAGGAGACAGAAGCAGAGATACAAAAAGCAGCTGTAAAAGGCGGCCCCGTCCAGGAAACACACAGCCAGGCAGACGAGCTCCAAGGCAGCTCCCATGCCAGAGGACGAAGAGAGCACATCCACTCAGTCACGGTCAGAGAAACAGGACCACACTGGAAAACAGGCCGATCTCCAACATCTATTAACAAGGGTGTTGATAGAAGCAGCACAGCTGATGTTTTTTTCCAGGATGACGTCACAGCCAAACAGGAACAGACGAGGCAAAGCTACTCTGAGAAAAAGCAGAGAGAGCAGAAGGTTAGAGATTGAACTAACAGATTCTGCAGAATAGGAGAACAGAGAGAGAATGAAGCAGAATGATGAAATGGGGGTCCCTATGTCCTCCAAAAGTCTAAGCCTATAGCAGCATAACTATAGAGATAGCTCAGGATAACCTGAGCCACCCTAACTATAAGCTTTATCAAAAATGAAAGTTTTAAGCCTAGCCTTAAAAGTAGACAGGGTGTCTGCCTCACGGACTAAAACTGTTAGTTGGTTCCACAGGAGAGGAGCCTGATAACTAAAAGATCTGCCTCCCATTCTACTTTTAGAAATTCTAGGAACCACTAGTAAACCTGCAGATTGAGAGCGAAGTGCTCTGTTAGGAACATAAGGAACAATCAGATCTCTGATATAAGATGGAGCTTGGCCATTTAAGGCTTTATATGTGAGAAGGAGGATTTTAAATTCTATTCTTGATTTAACAGGAAGCCAATGAAGAGAAGCCAGGATAGGCGAGATATGATCTCTCTTTTTAATTTTCATTAGAACTCTGGCTGCAGCATTTTGGATCAGCTGAAGGCTTTTAACTACAGTTTGTGGACTTCCTGATAGTAAAGAATTACAATAGTCCAGCCTTGAAGTAACAAATGCATGGACTAGTTTCTCAGCATCACCCCTGGACAGGATATTTCTAATTTTTGCAATGTTCCTCAGATGAAAGAAGGAAATTCTAGAAACCTCTTTGATATGGGATTTAAATGACAGGTCCTGATCAAAAATAACACCAAGATTTTTTACTTTATTATCTGAAATCAGTTTAATCCCATCCAAATGAAGTGACTGGCTAATCAGTTTCTTTTTCAGAGACTCTGGTCCAAAGACTATAACTTCTGTTTTGTCTGCATTCAGAAGCAGAAAATTAAGAGTCATCCAGGTTTTTATGTCTTCAAGACATGCCTGTAATCTATGTAATGGGTTAGCTTCATCTGGATTTATAGACAGATATAGCTGGGTATCATCAGCATAACAGTGGAAATTAATCCCATGCTGTCTAATAATTCTACCAATTGGGAGCATGTATAAAGTAAAGAGAATTGGTCCTAGCACTGATCCCTGTGGTACTCCACAGGTAACCTTTGAGCGTGTTGAAGATCTATCATTAACATGAACAAACTGAATTCGATCAGATAGATAAGATTTAAACCA